ACAGTCCAGAGCTTACAAATCCTTCCTACCTTATAAAACCTATCAACAATCTATCTACTTTTCTTGTTTCCATTCTTCCCTCCCTATTTCCTCCTACCCACCCGTCCACGCTAGGCTTTGTTCCAAAAAGGAATTCAAGAGACTTAAAGGACTACTGTCATGGCTTGTGGTAAGGCATACCTTGGCTTGATTCTATCTCTGTCACTAAGTAGATAGCCAAGTGACCATTTACCTCTCCTCACTGAGTCTGTTTCTCTTCTATAAAGTGAAGATAATGACAACTTCTTCCTAAGATGCAAGATAATTCCATGATCTACACATAAAGCCCCTATAACTGTGCCTACCACATACTAAGGACATGTGTTATCTCCTTTAAGTCTCATAACAATCATTTCATGAAGGAGGAGCTCAGGTACCAAGGAAGTGAAGTTGCTTGTCCATGGTCTTAGACAGTCAACTCCAGAATTTACACCCTGTAGTAACTTGGCCAATACTCCAGGAGTCAAGTCTGTCTCGTGGGTGGATAATGTGACCCTATTTTACAGGGAGGAATGAGATGATGTATCTAAAGCAAGCATCATAGCCGAAACCGGTTTGGCTCAGGTGATAGAGCGTCGGCCTGTGGACTGAAGGGTCCCAGGTTCGATTCCGGTCAAGGGCATGTACCTGGGTTGCGGGAACATCCCCGGTGGGGGATGTGCAGGAGGCGGCTGATCGATGTTTCTCTCTCATCGATGTTTCTGACTCTCTATCTCTCTCCCTTCCTCTCTGTAAAAAATCAATAAAATATATTAAAAAAAATAAAGCAAGTATCATAGAGTAAGTGCTCAATAAATGATAATTTTAAGTAAGTCACGATCAGGTCTGATTCCTGAACTCACTGCTTAGAGCCTGCAGGGTGGGCGGCCTCCATTCTCCATTTATGTGCTTCATAGGGAAACTCTGAGCCAGGTTTCTGAATTTTTACTATCTTCTGCACTTTTGTTCCAGGAAAAATAGGGACCATTTAGTCAATGAACATTTATTTTGGCTTAATAACACTTAAACTGGGGTTTTGTATTAGAATTTCTAATGATAAAAGCAATGCAAGATTAATGTAGACAACTTGGTTGGGGAGAGGAATAGGAAAACATTTACATTCTATCACTTTGGTGCCCACAGAGAAGCACCATTGACATTTGAGCATTTGTCCTTTTATTTATTTATTTATTTTATTATTTTTATTTATTTTTAAAATATGTTTTTATTGGTTTCAGAGAGAGGAGGAGAGAGGGAGAGATGGAAATATCAATGATGAGAAGGAATCATTGATCAGCTGCCTCCTGCATGCCGACCCAGTCATGTGCCCTGACTGGGATCAAACTATGACCTCCTGGTTCATAGGTTGATGCTCAACCACTGAGCCATGCCAGCCGGGCCATTTCTCCTTTTAATCGTTTCATATAGGTCAATGGATTTTCACCACATCTTAGATAACTATAAAGTCTTCATGCCCAAACCTGTTTGGCTCAGTGGATAGAGCGTCGGCCTGCGGACTGAAGGGTCCCAGGTTCGATTCTGGTCAAGGGCATGTATCTTGGTTGCGGGCACATCCCCAGTGGGGGATGTGCAGGAGGCAGCTGATCGATGTTTCTCTCTCATCGATGTTTCTAACTCTCTATCCCTCTCTCTCCCTCTCTGTAAAAAATCAATAAAATATATTAAAAATAAAAACAAAACTATAAAGTCTTCAAGTGTTAGAAAAGGAAGGGCTGTTAGCCATCACATCCAATAATGCAAGTCCTGTATTGTAAATGGCACTGTACTGTGCAGTGCACAACCTTCTGGATATGTAAACTCTTAACACATACCTTAGTGGTCCTAACTTTTACTCCTCCAAATATGGCAGGAGTATCACACGCTTTTCAAACAGTGGCTCACAGGCAGTCCTAATCCTGGAACGGACAGGGAGGGATGAGGGGCTGTGCCATCCTTTAGGGGAGCAGATCATAAAGTCTGGAGGAAGAACGTTTCTTTTCCAGAAGTAATCTAGAAAAGAAAACCTAGATGATTTAATATGCAACTCTGCCCTTATGGCAAATCACTAATATTGTCTTCTATTACATAGAGGGAAACTGAGGCTCCGAGAGAAGAGATTTACCCAGTCACACAGCTGGTAAGGGGCCAGTGGTCAGGCGGAACTTGACCACAGGACAATCCCTAACATAGTCTAATCCTAAAGAACGGAGGCAGAAAGATGTGGGTTCAAATCTCAACTCTTTCACTTATTAGTTTTTTACTTTTAACAAATCACTTAATCCCTCTGAGTACCAGTTCATTCATCTGTAAAAGAGGTGACAGCTTCCTTATTAGGTTTAAATGAGAATTAAATGAGAAGGAAAAAACTTTCTTAAAAATTGTCAAGTGCTGTGTGTCAGGTTCTGCACAATGCAACTCATATACATTATTTCATTTAATCTCCACAATAATCCTACGAGGGGGATACTATTTTTATATCCATTTTTACAGTGAGAAAACAGGCTGAAAAAGATGTCCTGTGCCTGGTATCACATAGCCGTTGAGTTGGGATTTAAACCCAGGTCTGTCAGTTTGGGAGCAATACTATCAGATAACATGGTAACTTTCAGCACAGTGCTTATAACATGCAAACACGAAATAATGAGTAGCCATCACTATTTACTGTTATTATTGTGAATATAATTATTACGTTGCATGCGATTGGCTCGCCTCTGTTTTCAAGCTCTTTAGCCAAGAATCCAAGAACTGGGCCGACCCAAGAAGGGGAAGAGATGCCAGCCCAGCCTAGCCCTGTCCGAGACCACTAGTCCCTCCATCCTGCCCAGGACGCCTTCTGGAGCGTTCCCGTATGTGGAGACACAGAAACCCTCTGCTCCATGACCTGGGCCTCTGCTGATCTCTGCAGATGGGTGCAGGCGATTAAAGAGGCAAGATCCAGAGGCAGAGGGAGAGGACCCATTTAAAAAGCCCGGCGAGCACAGACACGCCACCTGAATCCCAGTCTCCACCTGAGCCCAGCCAGTATGAGTCACCCCCAGAGCCCTTAACCTGTGAATTGCAACACGCTGACAGAAACTCCACAGCCTTCCAGGTGGGCAGACAGATAAACAGACAAGTGTGCCATCCTTTGAGCTGCAGTGAGCTCTGCAGTTACGGGTTCGCACCAAAAGGCCCTCCTACCACCAATAACCTCCCTGAAGCAGTTGGACACTCAGGCTCTGCTCTCGGATCACATCCCAACTCTAGCTCTACCATCTCCAGGCTCATCTTGCGTGACTTATTTAATCACTTAGTACTTCATTTTCCTCATCTCTAAAACAAGGATAAGAAAAGTGCCTATCTCAAAGGGTTGTTGTAAGGATTCAATGAGACCGTGGAGGAGGCTTAGCACAATATGGTATATTGAGCACCTACTGTATGCCAGACAGTGTAGTAGGCACTGGCGATTCAACAGTGAACAAGACAGACAAGGTCCTTGCTCTTATGGAGTGCACATTCCAGAAGAGAAAATAGACAATAAACACTGAGAAAACTATCAAAAAGTCCTGCGGGCCTTGCAGAGAACCAAAATAAAGTGAAGAGACACGGTGACTAAATGTCTACGGTAATCAGGGTGGGTGGAGAGGCCTGCTCGGAGGAGGTGGCTTTATTAGCCATTGTAATTACTACTTACTGTATTTGTCAGTTCCCTGTAGACTGCCCCCAACACAGCCTCCAGTGAGGAGCCCACCTCTGACAGTTTTCAAACATAGGACCCCCTCTCCAGGGGCCTGACCCATCCCAAGAGGGCTCCTTTGGATTCTGACTTTACCCTGAACACCTCTATCAAATTGGCAGGAGTAACTGAAACCTCGCCTTCCCCCGAGAGAAAGGAGTGGGCCAAGGCAAGGCTCTCAGGAAGGCAAAGCAAAGAAATCATTTGCCAAAAGAGAAGGGGGCGGGGGGGAGACAGAAGGAGAGAAAGGGGGAAAAAAGATGCCAAGATCTTTGGCTTAAATTTAATTTCAAATTAATCCTGGTGTAAGCTCTGAAAAAAGCTCTAGCCTTCTCCTGTTGGTGTTTGTGGATCTTCTGGGTTTACCAACCTTGTTCTTTACAGACAGCTCACGGTGATTATTCCACAGCTACTCAGTCTAACAGGAGCCTGATTTCTCCTGTTTCTAATGCGGCATGCCGCACTTATTAGAATTTGTGAAATGACCAGCTTGCTAAGGCTTTGGAGGTGGCTGACTTCAACTTTTCCATCCCTTCCGTGCTGGCCAAAGGTATGTGGTTTGCTTACATCTCATTCAGATCTGTATCACAGCAAATAAAAGGTTGCCACCCACCCTACTCCCCCACCCCATGCCACCCACACACACACACACCCCAGATTGTAAACTCCTCCAGAGCATTCATCCTGTCTTTTTAGCCTATGTCTCCCCAGACCCAGAGTAGGGCATGGTACACAATAGGTACTCAATGAATGTCTGTTAAATTGAGGCCGCTGGGTGAAGCTCAAAGGGACAGCCAGACTTGGAGTAAGGTGCCTGGTTCAGATCTGGGCTCTGACAATTCACTAGCCCGTGCCCTTGGGCAAGTCACTTCACCTCTCTGGCCTCCATTTCCTCATCTATAAAGGTGACAATAATCTGAGGAGGGGGGGCGGGGGGAGGGAATTTACACAGAGACGCACCAGGTAGAAGATCTCTCTCCTTTGAGAATTCCCCAGTGGTTGTGAAGTATGATGCTGGGGGAAGAAGGGGGGCAAAAGAATTTGGGGGAGATGTTCCTGGGTATCTAGAATACAAAACTAGAAACAGGAACTGAAATTTCCTTCAGCCAAGTATCTGTTTGTCACTGTACTTTTCCTCTAGCTATCTTCTTTCCAACATTTTTCCCCTCCCTCTCTCCTCCCTCATCTCCACCCCCCACCCCCTCACCAAGGAAGGAATTGGCCGGCTCCACCCAGCCGGCCCCCATGGCTCCGCCCCCAACTCGGCAGGCCAAGAGTTAACAGCTGCACCTGTTGAGGTATACCTGCTGTCGCCCGGCACCTGTGCCTGTAGCCAATCAGCACCAGCGCTGCCAGGAACCTACCTGTCAGCAAAATCCCAACACTCCAACCCCAACATAAATCAAACACTTCCCTGGACAGGGAATGTCTGTGTCAGGCAAGAAATAGAGTCAAGAGCAGTCAGCAGAGTCTCGGGTGCCGGTGCCTGTCGTTGGAGCCTGGGAGCCAGGAAGATGTCGAATGAACTTGAGTGAGTAAACATCGGCGGATGCCTGGCGCTCTCTGAGCGTGGAGGCTGGATGGGATTTCCAGAAGGGGAAAGAGCAGGGAGGCCGCCGGCGCCAGGATTCACAGAGCAATTTGTACGGGTAAATGAATGGGCTGAGGATCTCACTTTGGCGTGTAGAGGCAAGCACCGTCTCCAGTGAGAGCTGAGAGTTTCCCTGGGAAAATAGTTTTGTGTTGTGTTTTTTTTTTTCTTTCTCTCTCTGCTAAGCAGTTTCGAACCAGGTAGGGAAACACAGGAGTGAAACTGACTGCGGCTTTCAGCACCGCTTTCGGATACTCTGAAGGGGCCTTGGAAATCAGAGAGAGCCCCTAGCCCTTCTGGGCTTTCTATGTTCTTGCCAAAAGAAACTTCTCTAAGGTGGTTCTCAGAGCTGCCTGAGGCAGAGAGCTGGATTTCTCCAAAGGGACTTGTTTGTTGGGTTGGAACAGTCTCAAGTGGGAAGGTTACGGTGTGGTGGTTACACATACCCACTCTGTAGTCTGTATGTTCAAATCCAGGGTCTGCTCCTCATGGGCTGTGTGATCTTGGATAAGTCATTTAACTTATCTGAGCTTCATTTTCTTCATCTGATAAAATGGGTACAAGAATGCTTTGTTGGATTCTTGAGAGTTAAGTGTGAAAGAGGTTGTAAAATGCTTAGCAAAGAGCCAAGGTCTGAGGACGCATTCGATAAAATGTGGTTGATTTTATTCGGAGGCAGTTCTAAGGCTGAGGTAGCTGCGATGTGGTTTTCAGTGAAGTCATCTCTATTAACTGGCAGGATTCTGGTGCCTTCCTGCCCACAGCTGGGATTTAGAATCCCCACTGGCTGATGCTGACCATCACCTGGACCCCCTGCTTGGTGTCGGGACCTCAGAGAAGGTGGGATGAGGCTGGGATTCTGGGCTGCTTTTTAGCTTGGCTTAAGGGAGCTTTCAGAAGCCAGGCTTCTAAAACACACCTCTTCCTGCCACCCTCAGAGGTGAGTGGGCAGAGACAAGGTTTGAACAATCGTTTTTTTCTAGCTACTCCTCAATAGATTGTTTTTAAAACGTGAAGACCTGAGGGCAGAGCAGTTGGTGGGTCCTGACTGCAGAGTGTTCTGTGAGACCAGCTAGCTCTTAGGTTAGCCACCTACGTTCATACTACAATCACTTGGCATCAGATTTCTCTTGAATGAATTCCCCGGAGTTGACAATGTGTTGACAACTGGAATTAGAGCAGGGGCACTGGAACCAATATCTGGGTTCAAGTCCCAGCTCTGCCACTTCTTAGCTGTGTGACTTGGGGCAAATCACTTCTCACTCTCAGTTCTCTCACCTGTCAACTGTGGCCATAGTGGTCCCCACCTCCGGGAACTGTTGGGGGAAATCCAACAACTTTTAAAAAGTGATCAGTTTAAAACCTGATAAGCAGCAAGCTAATAATACTCTTGGTACCTCATATACAAATATCCTATCAATGAACATTTCTTAACTTTTTGCTTCCTATTTTTCCACACTTCGAGAAAAAAAATTGTGATGTGTCTCTAGTGCACTTAGATCTGGGGCTTAAAACTGCAGAGGCTGCAGACAGAAATCTATTCACTGATGCTCCTTAGGGGGTAAGTGTCCTGAAGCTGGGCTGCTCCAACAGAAAGGCTTCCTGTTTTTCTCTTCCTTAATGGTTTGGAGTTTGAAGTCCGATCCGCTGACAGTTGAGGCTTCTCCACGTGGGGTGGGGTGAGGGGACCTGAGCCTGCAGAGTAATTGCAGACCGACTCTGAAGCCACCATTTAAGATTACAATGACAGAGCCTCAGTGCCTGGGGGGCTCAGCTGCCCTTACAGTGTGTGTGTGTGGGGGGGGGGGGGCGGGGCGGGGAGTAGGGTTCAGGGCATCAAGTGCTTGGTTTGCAGGTTTTGAGTGGCTGCTGCTGGTGCCTCTTTCCCCTAAAAAGTGCCGAGTGAAGGACTGATCCTGGAGTCCATCCTGAGGCCGATAGAAGCAGGATTTGCATATGACTCCAAATTCTGTCCCTTACCAACTGCCGGATCCTGGTGAATTTCTTTCTCCTTACTGACCCTCAGTGTCCACCTCTGTCCAGCAGGGACTATACACACCTACCTGGCAGGGGGACAATGGGCTCTGTGCGTGGGCCACTCGGTCCAGAGTAGGAGCTCCATGAACGCGAGCCTGATTGCTAGGCCGCTGGGGGAAGGCCCACTGCCAAGGCCGGGTCTTGACGTGCATGGAGGCCGGGGCGGCGCAGTGAGAACCCAGCTGCAGGCATGGCGGGTGGAGCGCAGGGGACTTTCATGTGGCCGGGCCCAGCCCGCCGGGGAGCGTGGGCCAGCCTCCAGCCCTCCGCCAGCGCCAGCACTGCCGCCAGCCCGTGGCCTTTGGCAGCCTGGGGGCTAGAGCGGGTCGCAAGGGATGTTGGGGCAGCGGGAGCACCGGAAGTCGCTGCCGGAAGTCTTCCCCTTGCGGCGGGCGCCTGCGCACTGGCCGCAGTCGGGGCTACAGACCTGGCAGCCATCGCCTGGGCCTTAGCCGGGGTGCCCTCCCGGACCCTTGGAGCTCTGTGTGTAGGGGTGCCGAGGACATACTGTGTGCCAGGCGCCCCTGTGCTATTTCATCTTGCCCCTCGAGGAAATGAGAGTTCTGAGCGGAAGTGATGAGCACATAGTAGGTCCACAGAATGGAGAGGGAAGTGAGCGAGGCCCACCCGCATCCCCGTCTACAACCTCGCCGGGTCCACAGCCCGGGCCCCCACCGCGACTGGAGTCTTCTCCTTCCCCAAAGCCTTGGAGAGCCGCGAGCCAGGGCGGGGAGGGGACCAGAACCTCCCAGTCTGCGGCCTCGGGCCTCGGCGAGACTCCATCTGATTTCCAGGAGCGCTGTCTCCAGACGGCCTGGAGCGCTGAAAGAGTTAACCAGGAGCGCCTCCCCGCTGTGGTTTTGTGGTCGAAACCATGATTGCCAGGAGCAAATTTTTGTCGTGCACAAGGTGTGTTATTAAAAGTCGGAGTTACGCCGGTGGTGAATGAAAAGTTAAAAGCCCTCATTAAGCCCGGGCTGTAAAACAGGCGGCCTGGGCGGAGAGGCTGAGACAACCCTAACGGCGCTGGCGACCCCGGGCACGGGGCTCGGGACACACGCCGGAGGCTTCTGCCACTCCCAGTGAGGGCCCCCGACGGGTGCCTGGAGCCAACAGGGTCTCCGGGATCCACACCGAGGAAAAGGAGGGGGAGGAAGGGCCGCAGGGCTGAAGCCCAATTAGCATAGTCGGAGCTCTACCTGGTGAAAACAAAAATAACAGTCATCCATTTATTGAGCGTGGAATCCACTGCAGACACAGTGTCCAGTGCTTGATAAATGCATTCGTTCCTTTAACTCTCCCAATAATCCAATGAGGGGTGGGGAGTGTAAGTGCAATTTTGCAAAGAAGGGGATTGAGGCTTGCGTCCAGCTTGCCCAGGATTTCACGGAACAGCTGGGATCTTAACCCAGGCGCCATAAGGATGCTGCACACCAATATGCCTCCCTGCTTGTAACTGCAGAGGAATTGAAAGAAGGAGATGTGCCACACTGTTAACGTGATGATCTCTGAGTGGAGGAATACAGGTGAATTCTCGTATCTACTTCCAGTTGTTCCCATGTTTTATGCATTGTGTTTTTACAAACCTACGTTACTTTTGAAATGGGAAGGGGGAGGAGAGGAAGTAATTTTTAAAAGAGAAAATTATTGGTTTACCTAAAAACAGTATTCTTAAAGTGTGGTTTCTGGACCATGATCATCATCATCATCATCATCATTCCCTGGGAACTTGTTAGAAATGCAAATTATCAGCCCCACCCCAGACCAACTGAATCAGAACCTGGGGGGATGGGGGCGGCGGCGCGGGTAGGACTCAGCAGTGTGTGTTTTAACAGGCCCTCCAGGTGACTCTGATGCATGTTCAAGTTGAAGAACCATTGGCCTAGAAGTCCTGGCAGAGAATTGGGAGGCAGGATATTCCCAGGTCCACCGCTGACCTGCAGTGTAGTTGCTGAGTCAGCAGGCTGAGAACTTTGCTGGTGTTTGAGCCCAGCTCTGCCCTTACAGACTGGGTGACATTTGGATGAGCTCCTTCACCTCTAGAAGTGTCAGTTTCTGCATTTATAAAGTGACAGTAATAACACCCACCTCCCATGGGCATGTATGAGAAGGAAAGGCACAGGGCCTGACCCTATTAAATAACTTGGCTCCTTCTCCGCCCCTTCTCTTCCCTCTCCTTTCTGGAATTCAGCTTTCTGGTTTGTAAAATGGAACAAATAATCTTGGCTGGCTGGCTGCCTCCCTCTCTCTATTCCTTTTGCCTCCTCAAAGGGTCAGAGCAAATGATCTAGTGAAGGTTCTGAAGAACAATTATCTCACCAATATTTGGTGTCTTTTCACTGGACCTTGCTAGGAGGTCAGCAAGAACTGGGAATTTTGAGGGCAGAGACTGTGGTGTTTACCTTTCTGTCCCAGTACCCAGCACAGGGCCTGTTACAGTGACTGTTTATAGAATGAATCAGTGAGTGAATGAATGAATGAAAAGATGTGACCGCCTGGGTTTAGAGGTAGATTTCAACTGCTTTCACAACTTTATTGAACAATAGAAAAAAAATAGGAAAATTAGACAGGAAGCCAAGAGGAGAATAGAGCACAAAAGAAAAATTCCCACAGAAGAATTTTTCAAAGGGAAAGTGAGTTTCTGGTATAATTAGAAAATGGCATATAATTAATCTACATGCAACTGGAAGCGTTGGCTGGAGCCTGACCGCCCTCAACTTGCCCACCTTGATCCAGATGATGAAGCTGGCAGGGTTTGTCCCTCTTATCTGGGAATCTCCAAGCACCAGGTCTTCTTCTACCACTAGGAAGAGGTGATCCCATTCATAGGTGGGAGAAAGTGAGGCTGTGGGTTGCCATGCAATATGCTGGGGGCTACCCCACTAAGTATTAGTAATAATAAT